TTACTAATAAAATTTATCACTAAAATTACATCCCAATTTTTCAAAAAAACAAAATTTTATAGCATTATTTAAATGTTTGTAAAATACTATCTATTTAAAATTTAAGCTAATGATTAAGTTATAAGTTATTATAGTGACTGTGAGTGATTAAAAGTAGTTGTTGTGTAACTATTATAACATGCAATTTAGATAAGTATCTCATTGCGAGTTTAAAAACTACACAAGAAAAAAATTGATACTTTATTATATGCTCTATATAGAAGGTATGCAATATAAAACTACCCGTCCATCATTTACCTGGTACATATTATACCTAATAGCTTTTAGAAAGTTTTAATAGTTTCTATATGCAATTAAATAAACGTCAAATAATAAATAAGCACATAATATAAAATTTTAAGTGTTAATATACCATATAACCACGACATTATGTATAGGTACATGGTAACCACCTTTCATTGGAAGTGAAATCATTGTACAGTAATTATATTTTGCATTGTCGCGAGTATATATCATATCAAATAAACATAAATACCTGCAGTGTTTATTACAATATCAACTTAGTACAACAGAAACTTATGATTGCGGTGCCGCGTAAGTATTATCTAATATACTATAACTATCTAATACAACCGTGCTGGCTGATGTATATAGAAGTATGATTATTACGACGTACGCGTGTAAGCATTAGAAAAAATTCTATAGGCCGTAGGTACGATCGTAATACCATCGTCCATGGGTATATGTATATGACATGACAATACACTTATAATTGATGAGTGGTGTAACTTGCAATACCACAAGTCACTAGATCATTTTTRGGGTGATTTTGACAAATCGAAAACGAACATAATACGCATCGATATCAATCAATAATTAACGGACGGATTCGTTGATTAGACGAGCTTTTATGCCATGTGCAACACTGAATAAGTCTGTGGACTRCAATAGTGTGAMAGTTTGGCGACTTTAGATGTTTATCTATACATTAATGTGTGTGTTAACGAATCATAGCCAAGTCTATCACTAACGTAGTTCTGAAATATGGTACGTAAGTAATTCTATACCTCAGGATAGTGAGGATGTACACCTCGTAGCCAATTTTAGATTCTGAGCGGAGCGATGAATGTATTGATTTTACCATGATGTGTGTGTGTTTTTT